TATATATATATATATATATATAGCTCTTTTGTAATCTATCATAGTGTGTGAAATAACAATAGAATAGTTTCACATCTCTTTCTCTTTTCTTCTTTCCTGTAGTGTACAATAGCAAAAGGAGAATAGTTGTTTTGTTTTCTTACTTATTTGATCAGAAGTTGTAGGGCCTGAACCAAAAGAATATAGAAGTAAAAAAAATGGACTTGGTAATTATGATCGTTTAAGGACATCTGTAATACTAGCTTTTCACACTTTTCACGAAAATGGTTGTGGATTGCTTCCACGAGCCAACTCTATTCCATGGAGAGAGAGAGAGAGAGAGAGTGTGTGTGTGTGTGTGAGAGAGAGAGAGAGAGAGAGACCGTTGTGGTTCATCTTTTTCGTCACGAAACACCACGAAAACGCGACCGGGGTGGTGTGCGTAAACCACGTCCCCTATGGTTGTGAGTATTACAGACAGTGGTCTAATATGTAGGGGTTAATGGTTGCGTTGAGCGTGAATGATAAGGTAGAAGATTTCATATTTTTGTTTTGCATTAGAATTAATTGGTCACGTGGATCGATTTAGGGTGATGCCTAGAAGTTGGTTTGCATGGAATAGAATAATATTATTGCATGTGATTAGATATGAAGGTGACGTGTGCAATTCCCCAGGTGTAGAAAGTGAGAATAATGATGTTGCATGAGACTTAGGCTGTCTGGACTGGTCGTCACCCAGTGGTTTAAGAGTGAAGAGTATGTCATGTCACTGTTTATCCATTCTATAACCAATCGACTAGGTTGTGGAAATGATATTCACCGGTGGTTCGTGGTTAGGGGGTGAAGAAGCAAAAAAGAGAGAGAAAGAGAAAAAAATGTAAGGGGAAGAAAATTAAGCCAATTAGATCACCGTTCTGCATCCGTCTTTACAAAGACACCACAACCAAACCACCGGGGTTGGGAGCAGTGTTCACGTGTCTACATATACAACTAATAACACATATAAATAATCGCACAGTGACACAAGTAGTCCTACAGATCTACCTAACTAGCATAACAAACTAGCATACATACTCAACACAAAATCAACAACTGGGATATCAAATCCAATGGGTCGGCCTTGGTGCCTTAGACCCCTTAGTATAGTGAGGATAACTCACATCTCAACTGTCGACTCAAAGTGATAAGCTCAAACTCTTGGATCACTTTCACAAACTCCACCACCTCTAATCACCATATAACCATATTCATAAATTTCCAATTTTCCCAAAATGCCCCAGAAGTTAATTAGTCCACCCTTGGTCAAAGTCAAAGTCAACGGTCAAGTTCAACAATCCATGTTGACCTGACTCATCGAGTCCTTCTAGAACTCGAGTAGTCGTGAAATCCTTCATTGACTCGTCGAGTTTCCCTGCAACTCGCCGAGTTCATGCATGTTCAAATGTCAGGGAAACCCTAGCTGACTCGCCGAGTCCATGCAGAAGTCCTTGCATGATAATGTTCATCAGACTCATCGAGTTAGCCATGAAACTAGTTGAGTCCCTTCAGTCCTTTATCCATATAGATGCTTTTATGCCATCCCAAGCTTTCATATTACAGATCCAACTTCCCAAGGCAGGTTTATCACGTAAAGTTGCAAACTTTACGTGCATGCAATGCTCTAAAGACTTAGAATATCAAATCCAAGCTTGAAATGGGGTTTAACTCATAAGGAAGGGTTCATGCTTGCTAAAGCTAAAAACTTTATGGACTTAAAGAGCAAGGTAAGCTCAGATCTGAAGTTGCAACTTCAGATCTTAGCTCATACCCAAGAATGGCTACATAACATGCTAGAAAAGCCCCAATCTTCTACAAAATGAGATCTATAAGGAAAGAAGGTCAAGGTAACGACTTGATACCTTCAAATGATGCTAAACTGAGGTAGACTTTAGATCCACACACGTTCCTTGCTTCAAACTACTTGATCTTCAAGCTCCTCTCTATAAGATCCACCTTCCAAAGCTTAAAACACACAATAATGGATCACACACACGAATTAGGGTTTCTGGACTCTCAAGAGGCTGTAAGGGAGGCTAGTGACCCTTTATTAGGGTTTCATTCTCCAACTCTTACTCATCGAGTCGTATCTTTGACTCGACAAGTTCGTCACTTAAACACATGGCCAAACCCACTCCTACTAGACAAGTCAGGGCATCCAACTCATCGACTAGACCTTGAAATTATGAAAAATAAAGCCATAAATTCAATACCTAAGAGTCGGGGTGTTACAAAGACCCTTCTCACCACATTTGTTCAAGGACCCAGCCTTGGCTCAGAAGGAGACTACTCGCAATATTTGTGTGAACACGGAGGAATGCACTGCGATTTGTTTAGTACCGGAAAACTACTCGTGACTATTTTTGATGTTAGCCCCTGCATATCCTAGATCATAGACCTCGATGCAGTTTTTCAAGTTAACAAGTTAACTTGGCCCTCGGAGAGACGTTCGTCAATAATCTTGCCTTGCGAGGTGCATCGCCCTGGTGCTATGACATCTTTACAATTTCAAACTTTTACTTCCTTAAATCTGACAGTTCTTAGAAAGATACTGCCTAACTGACAATTTGTACAATTTCAATCCTTCAATTCCTTGTGAAAATAGAGTGAAGTGTAATGACCATCAACTCCTTTCCAAGTTTCTTCTCCTTGCTTAGAAAATTCCGATACAGTCTCCTTGAGTATCTTCTTCTTTTTGAATTCGCTTTTAAAGACAAACGAAACTTTGAGATAAAAAAAGAAAAGTAAAATTAAAATTAGCACACAATAGAAATAACTAAGAAATAAAAATAAAACTAAAAAAATACACTCAAAATAAAATATGTTTATTTGAATTTTTGATTTTTTTCAACAAGAAATAAAATCAGAAATAAACATATTTTTGGATTGTTTTAAATTTTATGATTTTTGTTTGATTTTTTTAATTCTCCCCTTAATTTGTGCATAGAGGAAAATATGAACAAATTTAACAAACACAAAAATAATAACTTAATTTAAAACTTTTTGTGATCAAAGTTGTCAAACAATTCAATATCATTTTATCAGCACACACCTGCGTGTTTAGCTCTGGTAAATCACCAATATTGTGGTCTACTTAAACACAAAGGATATTGACAAGTTGGAAAAATTATAAATGACAAGACATTATGATTATATTCCTAAATAGGACATTTCCTGACGACGACCAAGGACAGTGTTTTCCACTTAAATTCAACAACGAGATCTACAGATAACCTTTAATCACGAGCCAATTCAATTCTAAGTGCACCAGAACATGTTCTCCACTTCACGACATACCCTAGCAATCAAGGAATTCAAAGGTGCTATTTACTTTAGGTGAGTGCTCAATTATTTGAGAGAGAAGATGGATATAGAGATGCATCTGTTGTATCCCAGGTCGGATCTCTTCCAATCACACAGAGGGACAACATATGACTAACATAGATAGGAGGATAGAGAAATAGAAAGATGCATATGTTGTGTCCCTATTCGAATCTTCCGATCACGCAAATGGGACAACATATGACTAACATAGATATATAGAGAAAGTCATAGATAGAGATGTATAGAAATAGAGGTGTATATGTTGCGACCCAGGT